TTCTTTGACAAAATAAATCAAATCAATTTTTGGAAAGTCAATCCAAATAATGATAATATATCCAATAATGATATACTCGAAATATTGTTGTTTTTTTTAATTAAATTGCCCCTTTCAGATAGTATGGTAAGCAGCCGGCCTCCGGGCTCGGGGTTTGGGAAAGGTGTGCCCATGTAAGCGGGCTCGAAGTCTGTGAGTTCGAAAACTACATAGAGACACGATAGAAAACCTGTTGGATGATTTCTATCGTGCTTGTGGCATGACGAGAAATTCCCAGTCTCTCGAATATCACCTCTGTATCATAAAACTTCCATAATCCCTGGTGCTGACTGGTGAATGTGTTTAAGATCTGTTTGCAATCGGCATTTGTAGGGATCCTGGAATATTTTGAGTACATATGCCAGGCTCCCTACACCCAGAAAAAAGATGCAAGTACCGAGATGGACCCACGAACATTTTGTAATGTTACAGGAGGAAGTGGGCCTAAGGTATAACGGCTAGATGTTCGAACCCTTCACTGGGAATGGTCTCCAATGGTCTCCAGGGAAGCGGTAGTTACCGCGGGGCGCCTACATAGATTCGTTAGGCGCCCCGATAGCATCGAGGAACGGGGTTCGACAAAAGCAAACAAACAAAATTCTACTAAAAATGACAATAAATTAGTACGATAAATTTTGTCACACCACTGGTTTGAATTAGTTCTAATAACGCATAACTGTGAATTTAGATAACGATACACTGGCCACAACAACCCCCTGTGCTTGAGGGGAATGAATAATTCTTTGTAGTTATTGGTAGAAAGGGAGATTTCAAACATGACCATTGGACCAGCTGCTAGCCTTCAGGAAATATCAGATTGGAATGCGACAATGGCATTCCGCACCTCGGAGCAGCAGATGGGTTTTCTAAGAAATCCATCTCATTGCTGACATGAAATAGCTGAATAAAACGCGGTTATAATTGCCGATTTGTGTTGATATTGGCTCGAAAATAATAATTTTTTTCCACCTATTGTTCTATGGTTTGTAATGAGTTTTACAAAATATGATGACTGAGATGTGTTAATTCGGGACAAATGGCTGAATAATAATATTCCGTAACCGTTATTAAAAGCGAGAAAGTATGTGCACCACTTGTATTAGCACCACTTGTTTGTAATGAAATATATTCTTCATAGTCGGCGCTTTAAATAAGTTTATGTACAATTGTTGGAAAATATGAGTAGTTTTCGCGCAATTTTGAATGAAATAAAGACAATTTAAAAAAATTATCAAAAATGGATTAAATTGTTTCCTTTATTGAAAAGAGCAAAGTACGCTTATAAAAATTGTGCAGGTCTTGTTTTCGTTTATCTACCTGTATTTTCGAAAATTACAAAACTACGATATTTGTAATAGACCCCCCCTCCATAAAATCTATTTTTTAAAAAATCTTTAAATGAGATCATGTTTCAAACATAACCAGTAGTTTCTGCGTGATTTTTGCTTGAAGTAAAGACAATTAAAAATATTTTATGAAAAACGACTCTAAGAATTGTTTTCATTTTTTCTCGAATAGAGAAAAGTACGTTTGTGAAAATGGGGATGGATTCATTTTCAGCGAACACTCTGCATTTCAGAAAATTGCAATTAATTAACATAGTAAAATTACAAAATTGATAGAGATTTTATTTCTAATGAAATCTGTTCTAAAAGTTAAGATGTTTAAATAGTCACATACAATTTATTTGAAATATAAGTAGTATCTTCGAAATTCACAATTTGAATTTCCCGCGTTTCCTTTACTTTCTTCTGCAAGTCTTTCACGACTGGGCAGCCTGATATCTCGTGAAAGCATGGCAATGCAAGCATGACAATGGCAACGGTTGAAATTCTCAGAATTACTTCTCATCCTTGAGCGAAATTTCTCGCTCCGTGCAACGCAGTTTTGGATCGCCGAATTTGTATTGATATATTATCTTCAAAAGAATTGGTTCTCAAACCTAATGCGCTACTATTGGTACCTAATTAGTTTTACAAGTGATGATGCGATGTAAAACACAGAAACTGTGGCATTAAAATATGACGTAACCCTAACTAATACGAAAATGTATGGGCTATTTGTAGCACCGCTTGTTTTAAGTTCAAGTTCCAGTCAATTGTTACTCCGCTCCATGCCGTGGCTATCATTTTGAACAAACTGCTTTTTCAGTACATCGAATAGTTTGAATGAATACTACATATAAAACACTTGATACTGTTAAATACCTAAGCTAGCTTTTCTAGTATGGCAAATGTTCCTCACGGACAATTTAATCGAGTTTCTCTGATAAGACAAAGGAACGAGGCCCAGCGCGGTTGCAGATACCGTAGTGCCTGCGGTGGCGCGGCAATTCGAATTGTACGCCCAGATTAAACTGAATTTTCTGGAAGTCATTTTTTCGGTTAACAGGTTTTGAAATTCTGGTTCTTTATAAAATTCAACACAGAATCTGAGGTATTTTTGTGATGGCTGCTTCCTGACGATCTATTTAACTTTTAATGTACCAGATTTAACATTAAAGCTCGCACTGCTTTCCAAATCTCTTTTAATATTATACTCTAAGGACATACGCATGTCTTTGCAATTGATAAGTAACAATCACCACAAAATCTTGTATTTGTGTTACCACTGGAAAGGGAATTACTCCATCAGATTTAAGATAAATTGAAGTTTGCAGATAACTTAAAAAAAGAGTACAACACGCATACCTGAGAAACATTGCATCCTATGGCCTTAAAACCAGATTTTCGTGTCCCAAAGAGACACATGTTTTGGGGGACATGCAGGAGATAATACATGAAGGGGACAGGAATTATTATGTTTAACTAGTATTATAAAACATTAGGGCTTTTTGAACTTTGTGTTTCATATCTGGAGATTTGGTTCTTCCACTCTACAGAATTAGTGATCAGTAAAGCGTAGACATCTGAAATCTATGTTAAATGAAATTGAAGGAAAAAGACAGAAATAATCATTCACATCAAAATTAAAGAAACTGATTTAATGAAAAATTTAATCGCAATCCTTAGCAATATTAGAATCGAACAGTATCGGACCTACAGTGCCCAACACAGTTCAAAAGCTGGCCGAAGTTCGGTTCTTCTAGGCAGTAAATTTCATTTTCAAAGCAATTCTGGGCGTATCGCACAGTTTGCGAACGTATACATGTTTTATTTACATCTATTTTTGGGGGAGAGAGGTAGCCCCTTCCACATTTTGTGTGGAGGGGGGGGGCGAAAGTGTCGGGGCCCCATTGTTGCTAGACATCTCTGACATGATAATACTTAATGCACTAGCATCAATGCGCTGATTCTCTATTCTCTCTATTCGTATTACTGTTCGACTTTGTTTTAGTCGAGGAGGTTGGTACTTCTACCTAGGCTTTACAAATGACGAAAGGAATTCGCAAGAATTTCTAAGCAATTGCAACAACTTCAAACTATCTACTTTTACTCTCGCATACGTAATACGGATGTACAGAAAGTATTGTAAAATTGCAAAAAATCGATGTCGAGATTTTCGACAGGCAGGCGCGTAAAATTATTGTTCATTTGTGACGCGCCCGGGACCGTTGATGAACAAAACCAGCGCGGTAGCGTGTATAGAATAGTTCCTCTAAGAATTATTTTGATAGGTCAGAAAACAAATGAATGCCATGCAAGGCGATGGCACTGCAAGAGATAAGTGACGAACCCATTTGCAAATTAACTAACTGTAAATGAACGCACTGCAGCATAGCTGGTATAGTGTGGTTTTTATAACTCTGTCCCTCAAGGCTCTACTTCACGGTGGTATTATGTCACGTGAATTTATTTCGCGTCTTTCTTGGTATAGCAGTGCTGGATACGGTCGCGATCATGCGACATCTAGCGGCACGATCGAGAAAGACGCAAAATATAGTGACAAAGCCACCGTGAACTGAGGAAAGAAAGAGGGAAAAGAAAAAAAAAACACAGCGGTCCCTTCTTATAGTAATATGTCTTTAATAAATATGAACCAAGTCTGCGGTATCTATTGCGCTCATGTTGAAATTCCAGGCCCAGCAAGTATTTTTGCGGGTTGAATAAATTTGCAGAGAGGTATGTTGGGTCAATGAGGCAAGCACTGAAGTGGAGTACTCCATCACGGGTTGCAAATTTGTAATTATGGCAAAATTATGAGTAAATTAATACACACATTTACCTCCTTTACGCAAATGGGTTAATCCGGACATTTGTTCATTTAGATAAAAGAAATTTTGGCTAAAAGTTGAAATTTATTTGAAAGTCACTAGAGAAATATGGGTCATTTCATAACTAACAGTTACTTTAAGAGTGTCTATTGAATGTTGTGAGGCTACTAATTTTGCAACTTGTACTGCACACTTTCCAGAACAACATAATTTAGATATTGATTTTTAGACAAGATAATTCATTGTAATACGATATTATAATACAAATATTAATCATTTTATCCTCTGTAAAAATTCTAATGTATTCTAATCATTTAAAATGCAATTCATTCATGCAAAAATGTTAACGAATGATGTTATTGTAGTTCAAAGGAGGCCATGGCACTTTTGTTCTAATATTTATTACAAAACTGTTTAACTGTTTAAATAAGGTAGATGCACTATGAAAAATTACGGTTTCAAAGTTTTAAATTTCTGTATATCACAACTTCAAACACATTTTAGAACAGTGATTAGAGTGACAGATGGGTGGGTAGCTGAGTGGCTGGAAACAAGCCAAAAATATCAAATGTTGCTTCTCTATGGTCCATTCTATTGTGTGTGTGTGTGTGTGGGGGGGAGAGATTTATTTTTCCCCAAGTTTATATACTACCAAGTGATCATGTATCAACATCTTTAAATCAGAATTTCTACACCATCAGGGAAGAAAACAAGGAGGGCCTAGAGAGCAGATACCCTTTCCTTAAACCTAGGCATGATTTAACGTAAATTATGGAATTTATCCTTTAAGGATTATATTTTATTAATTCACTATGTAATTTTATTAAATATTTGCATATTACAAAATGTATTGACGATAACAGCACATGAAGCTTTTTTAAAACATTTATAATCCTATTTGTGGCCTCTCCTTACGGTATTTCTGAATCTATACGCGATAATGATACAAAACATGTATTAAACACACTTATAACGTATGTAAATTACTTAAGTATATTAAAGATTATTCTGAAGTTTGGAATGAATATATAGAATTCTAAATGAATTTAGCAAGTTTAATAGGACTACTTACAGATACAATTGTATTCTGTGATTATTTGTGCAGAAATTTACCATGCCGTTTTCTACTTTTGTCACTGTACTTTAATGCAACTAGATGGAAAATGTAGATCTCGCCCCATTAAACCACGTTAGGTTGTCATCTTTTGGGTGACTGACAAATGTAGTAAATGCCCCTGATTATCCTTGACAACAGTACCTAACTTACCAATGAATTAATGTTGCTTACGAAGAAATAAAATATGCTTAAAAAATTAATAGATTAATAATTTTAATTGTAAGGTTACTCACATAATTACATACAATAACTATATTTTACAGCTTCAATAAATGGGAATGTTATAAGGTACATGCTACGTAATCAAATAGGGTGTAAGCCCAAAATCTACATTTTGGAACACCATATCTTCACAACTTCACTGCATCATTGCAATCGAGCTTCTCAAAAAGCAAATACCCTCTGACCATCTTTGGCAATTCCACACATACTTATTTGCTGTGAACTTAGGTTACTCAGTCAGATAAATATTCTTGAAGTTACAAAAATACCTTTCACAGTCTATAATACACACATAATAACTACAATACTAAAAATAAAGATTTAATATACATCTTCATAGAAAGCTGTCAGGAAATTTCAACATGTTCATATAATGTGGGAAATATAGAAGGACACATTTAATTGCTAATGTACATTTGCTGTTTTATCTAAGGTTTTCTGAAAGACATACAATTTTTCTGGCAATAAAGGAAGTAATCAATTTTACCACCTTACTGTAAAATACCAAAAATCAAACTGAAAATATAATTCCTAAATATGAAATAAATGTATGAACTGATTCCGTTTTGGTAAAGGTGGTGTTTAAATTTATTGTTATTTTGCTGAACACACAAAGTGTATTGTAATAATGCCAGTGTAGTATACAGTAGAATATTCAAAGTCTTAGCCACGTAAAACATTTTTCCAATCTGAGTACTGTTCCGTAACATTTCAATTCTGTTAGTATTAGAAAAATAGCTATGTATAAACACATAGATGGATCATTTTCCGAATTTGAGACTCTTCAGCAAAATATTGAGCATGTTTTCATTGTTCGTACTAACATGATTTTTGGTAACATTCTTTTAGTGAAATACTTTTAATACACCTACTTTCATTGTTTTTATATCAGCATTTCATTTACTTTTTAAGGCTATAGAGAACTGCAAAGAGAGTCTGGTACATACAAAAATATGTATTAGATGAATGGATTACCAAAATCTACATACATAATTTAAATGAAACATACAATTTCAGAATTTTTAACAGCACTCCTGCCAATATCCAAACCAGTACGAAGAATAGTTAATGATGCCAATTACTTTTAGAATAACAAGTGCACTTTGTTGTTTCTACAAGCATTTCAGCCGGCACACAAACCAGCAAGAATTAATATGCAATTTTCAGAGCAGGTGTATACTTTTAATTAACTGCATTTTTCAGACTTTGTTTAATAATTTTATATTTCTATTCATGTAACACTTCATTACCATCTAAATTAATCATTCATAATTATTAAGGTATAATTATGAAAAATGTCATTACACTTGCCAATTATATTCACACTTAAAAGAACAAAAATTAACACTAATAATTTCAAGAGACCAAAATACAAATTCAACCCAAGTTTATATATAACGATGTAATAAGCATATTTGAAAACTAAGACGTGACACAATATACTAATAGCACCAACTATCATTTAAGACACAGGATTTCGTTTGGTAACCTATGCAAGACTTATAAGATACTAGTACAATTAGTGACAAATTTATGATTGCTATTGCAAACCTTAATTCAAGTCCCAATCATACTCGTTTCATATAATAAGCATGAAAGTAAACAAAAATTCATGCGTAATTAGCGGCTGTTTATTTATGTCACCAAATTCTTATATAAAGATTTATAAATGCAAAAGAATTAATTCTTGGAGCGTAACCCATTGCTCTTACATGTTACTACGAAATGAATAGTTAAAGGATATGGATATTTATTTAATAGTATGTTCTAACGGAAGAATAGAAATAAATATTTATTCATAACCTGCCATCATAAAGAAGTATTTAATAACATTTTATAATTGCAACATTCACTTAAAATATCAAAAAGACTATGCAATTTTTCATATTAAAAAATATTACATCACCATCTGCTCAATTACAGTAGAACTTCATTAGAAGAGACACGGGTTGTCCTGAGCCCCAAAGAACATTTTAGTACATCTTTTTCCCTTCATGTAAAGAGTCATGAACATTAAGTTTCCTGCCTGTAGTAGAAAGAATATTGGCTCAAAAGAAATTTTCTTTCCCGTGGATATGAGTCAGAAGTTGAAATGATAATTCTTCCAACCTCACGAGCCATGTCTCAATAAATTTACTTTAAACTGCCTTTGTCAAAGACTGCACACGGGATTCCTCCCACCAGAATCTACTGATCTCCATGTGAAAAGTAACATTTTCTTTTTTTTGTCAACATTATTTATTTTGTAGAACACACTAAGGAGTGCAGTAAATGTCAAGGACTTATTCCTGATTGTGTGTAGGCAAGTAGGAACAGTGAGAGCTGTGCAGTGTTTGACAAGGCATCATTTATGTGTACAGTGTATTGATTTTTTCACCATAACTTGTAATGATATTACAACGAGTTCTTTATAAAAGTCTGTGCCAATAAGACTCTATGCTCCCACATGTCTATAATAAAGGAGTTCCACTGTACTCCAATCACACAGATTAATGAAAATGCAAATCATTAAATCAACTTCATACTTTCTTCATTAAACAAACTTCATCAAGGGAAAGTCAAGTTGAACATTACTTCCTCTCACAGACAAAATAATGCTCACAAAACTCAATAAATAATAATAATTAAAATATTAAGAAGAAGACGCCAAGTGCTGAATCTTGCTTTATAACAATAATAATAATAATAATAATAATAATAATAATAATAATAATAATAATAATAAAGGATATACAATTTTGCATATGAATGGCATAAAAATCACACAGAATTTACAAAATATAAACACCATATCAATTATATAGGGGTATAAAGCAGCAATTAAACAATATTAACATGCAACTTATGAAATTTGTATACATAACTGAGTATTCATTGAATAGGTTCATACAACTGCAGAGAATGTGTGTCAAATTTTTAAACATCTGAATTACTAATTTCTCACACAATACTTATTATATTAAGAATGCAGATCTTCATGTAAACGAGTGTGATTTTGTAAGAGCAATAGGGCTCATATTACAGAAAGGAACTTAAGAGTTGATAAAGGATATATGTATTTACAGAAAACTATAGCTGATTTGTATCTCATGAATTACACCTTTGAGGAACTCCACGATTTTTTTCATACATATAATATAAAAATCGGGTAGGAACAAATTTCACATACTATCAGCTTTAGAGGGGAGCTGGCTGGAAAAAAGTAATGAATATTAAAAAATAAAAGGAGATAAATTTTTGTGGTAGTAAAATAACAGGCATGCAAGCTGTAAAATTAGAAGTATTAGCTTGAAAGTTAATTGAAGTATACACTCAATAAATTATTATGTACATTATATAATATACTACAAATGATCAAATACAAATTTTGAACAAATTACTATTTAATGAAGTGCTACACATGGGCTCCTCTTTGTTCCTTTACTCTTTTCAAAACAAAAACAACAAAAACCCATCACACCTGCAGCACACAAAATTTTTCTATTCAATACTGAAATTATCACCAACAGTAAATTATCAAACTCCACGTAAATTACAATAATTTATGTAAAGCTTTAATTAAATGGTTATTAGTAACAAAATTGTAACGACACCATTGCTCTCAGACTTTTATCCAAGATGAAATGAAAACACATTGCACTAAAAAATCACAAAAGTATGATTACAAATATTCACCCAATTTTCATTAGGTAATGTTGGTTAGATGCCTACAAATGTGCAATACATAATAATAATACTGGTTCACTGAGAAAAAGGATTCTGGGCCTATGCATTGCACCAAAACAAATAAGCAACTATAAGCAACTTGAAACATAATTAAATATCACTTCAAAGGAAAGTTGATCACAGGGTTTGGAATTAGATACACTGAAGGAAAAAAAAGTGTTCTATACCATTAACAATCACATATGTCAAAAACCATATGCAGAAAATAGATACATAAAAGAGATTACTCCTTTGGTTAACCAAAACCTACAAATAACAATTTAACAATAAATTGAGTATAATAATGATCTTACTGGAAATAGGGCTATAAAATTCACTTACACGAGTCATATTACAACTTAATTAAAAATTAGCAATTGTAAATGACCACTAATTACAACCCACACAACAACCATCCCACAGAAGTAACTGTTAGCACAATAATAATTATTCATATCTTTACTCGTACAAGAACTTTTTTATTACTTCTGAATGAATGTTAATTTCAGATAAAAATAAAAATGAGTGGAATGTATTTTATTCTGTTTCTCATATTACAAAAAATGAAAACTAATTACTATATTACTAACTTTTTCAAACTTTCTTTATGAATTTCTAACAAAATTTGGGAACAATATATTGTATCTTGACAATGAACAACTTGCAAGCAATTTGAATCAATACATTCAACTTATTGATAAAAATTTGAAAAGTCAGTCATTACATGAGTAAATCTGAGAGTATGTGGCAGCACATGCCAACACGGTGTACTACAAAAACTAAAGAACTGAGATTAAAAAATTATGGAAGTACGTAAGAATGAAATTATTCAGAAGTATGTGTCCTCAAGTATGAGAAAATATTACCTAGTGCAATGGTTGCAATTGTGGGTTCCCTTATTGAAACTGAACAAATGACACTTTTTAAGAAAATTGTTGAACTTCAAATAATGCACCATAAACGGTACCAGTCTCCAAATTTCATACTTTTTCTTTCTTATTGCTAAATTTTTCATTAAACCTATAAACAATTTTGGGAATGCCCATACATTACAACAAATATCATGTGAATTGAAAGATACACTTGTACAATATTTACACTATTTTCTGAATCCATTTCTTTAAAATGATTTTAACAAAAATATTAAGGTAACACTCATTTCCAAAGAAAAAAGTTTGTTTACAAGGATCACTAGTGTTCTGCAAAATACATTATCTAAACAAGTGAGCAAGTTAAAAATCTATCTTCAGAACAAATAGCAAATTCACCAATAATAATAATAATCATCATATTAATTTCATTTACAAAGTAGAAAAGCATTTGAAGTGGGTTCTGCTAAGCAATAGCATCATATAAGTAGAGCAGGAGAATGTATCTTAAAAGCTTGCTTTAAATTAATAAAATGTGCAGATGCAATATTTCTTCTGCTATCACACTTTGAGAACATATTTGTAGCAATTATGTAAATATACTGCAATGAAGCATTTTTAATAAATCTGCAATCATGCAATCCATATCACTAGTTATATCACTTAGTTGAAGTTTGTTCAGATCCAGTCTTACTTACCATTCTCAAAACAATGTATTGTTTAGAACACAAATTAGTTTGCCTGATATTTCTCAATTATTTTAAATAAAAATTTAGTCTCCATAATCCATAGTCTTAATAAATTCTATGGCTGAGCAGAACTGAATCCACCAATATTGTTCTTCTCCCTCGAGTCTGCTACCATAAAAGCTATCAACATATTGCACTGTAGAAAGCAAAGAAGGAAGATTTGCCTGCAAAAATGTTCAAATGTTAGTTATGAAAAAATAAGGAAATATCTTATTTAGTACATAAAAAAACTAACCAACTTACCTTGATTAGCACATACACCAAAACAGGAACAAAATCATCAGCAGCAGGCACACTACCTACACAAGCCATAGCTAACAAGTTCATAATTGTGGTTGCACAGCGGAAAACACATTGGAGTTTGTCTCGAGGTGTCTTATATGCTGAAATAGCAGCAATTTCAGCCTGAGCTGATGGCCAGGGGCACTCATAATGATATCGCTGTAATGAAAAGTTGAAGCAATTTACTCACTATCTATTTAATAATGACACATAAATAAAATTTGAAGAGGTTATATCTACCTTAGGAATACGAAGATCTTTATGATTTGGAGTTATGACATCAGATAATTTCTTCATATGGTCATGTAGCACTCTAAAAGAACAATACAAAATCAGTAAAATACTTGGAAATGAAAGATAAAGCTGTATTAATAGTGTTCATGAATAGAAACCATTCAAAAGGTACTAATGAAAATACATTGAAACAAATATGTTTTTTTATTACAATCCAAGGAAAGCATAGCAATCTCTTTTCAAGTGTTTGACATCATGTGTGTCAATCTTCCAAAAAGTACAAGTATTTTACCTGCAAAATTAGATTATATAGAAATTCCATTATAGAAATTAATAATTTTGGAAAATAATAATAATAATAATATTAATAATAATAATAATAATGATAATAATAATAATAATAAAGCTGATGCGATAGCTGATATTGCTAAGGTAGTAGAGCAGAGGTGGTCTTGGACCAAAGGATCACGAGTTCTAGTCCTGTCTTGGGCATGGTTGTGTTGTCTCTGTATGTTTGTGTTTATTTCATCATTATCATCACAATTTCACCCTACAGGGCTAACTATGGTCATGGCCCCTATAATGGGTGATTTGTGGAGGAGGAAGAAAAAAGAAGAAGGAAGAAGAAGAAGAAAGAAGAAGGAAGAAGAAGAAGAAAGAAGAAGGAAGAAGAAGAAAGAAGAAGAAGAAAGAAAGAAGAGAGAAGAAAGAAGAAAAAAAGAAGAGAGAAGAAAGAAGGAAAAAAGAAGAGAGAAGAA